GTTAGGAGTGTCCTTATCGAAGGTCAGGAACATGTTGTTCACGAAGGGCTTGAGGGTGAGGCGGAGGTGGCCCTGGGGATCCTGCAGGCGGCGGCGCACGATGTTGAGCTTGTCGTGGATGCTCCTGGTGGAGTGGGGCACGTCCTTGGCGGCGGGGCGGGCGGCGGCCTTGTCCTCGCGGCCGAACACGGCCTCCATGGCGGCCTGCATCAGGTCGTCGGGGTTGGCTCCCCAGAGGTCGACCTCCTGGTCGAGGCTGGAGACGCCGGCGCGGCGGGTGACGCGGCGGTAGTAGGCGTTGGCGGCGTCGGCGGGGCCCATGAAGGAGGCGTGCTCGTGCACCATGCGGTCAAGCTGGGCGTCCACGGAGGAGGCCACGACGTTGAAGGCCAGGTGGGAGCCCTGGGGCATGGAGCGGGTCAGAGGCTGGGCGAGGCGGGCGAACTGGGTCCTGGAGAGAGACAAGGCGGGCGCTGAGTACAACAGAGAAACCTGGGCGACGAGGATATTTCCTCAACGGCAAACACTCGGTAAGCACTTACTGCTGGCGGAAGGCGGGGTCCTGGAGGTTAGCGAAGGAGTGGATGGTGGCCCACACGTAGGCGGAGACGGCCATGTTGGGCTCGTAGAAGGTGGAGACGGCGAGGCGCTGCCACAGGGGCAGGGAGGGCTTGGTGTACACGAGCAGGGACACGGCTGCCATGCGCACGGGGGCGGACTCGGTGGGGTCGTGGAAGAGGCCGAGCAGGGCGTCGCGGACCAGGCTGGGGGAGCGCATGGCGCAGGGCCTCAGGGCGAGGATGGCCTGGGCGCGCTACACACGAAGGGAAGAGGGTCAGACCAGCCAATGACGCTGACACTTAATCCGCCCACACACATTCAGTTCTCCGCCTACCAGGTAGGGGGCGACGTTGCTGTCCTTGGCCATCTTGATCAGGGTCTTGGCGGCCTCGGAGGTGGCGGTGTTGCCGAGGGCGTAGGTCAGGGGGGCGCGGAGCTGGCTGGCGTCCATGCTGCTCTGCTTGGCGAGCTGGGCGGCCAGGAAGGAGGAGGTGGCGGCGGCCACGGGGCGAGCGGCGCGACCGGCCAGGTTACCCATGGCCAGGGCGGCGGCGATCTTCACCTAGGTCAAGAGGCAGGCACGGTCAGCGTGGGACGAGGTGACAGGGTTTTAACCATCTCTTCAATAAACAAATTGGTATTCAATGAATTTTTCAAATGTTTCGATGGAAACGTTTAGACAGCATCTCTACCTGCTGCTCGTTGCTCATCATGTAGATGTCCTCGATGTACTTGTTGATCTTGCGACTGGGTGCGGACACGCGGTCGGCCAGGGAGGTCAGAGCCATCTGGGTGGCGACCACGTTCATCTTGCGGTCCTTGATGAGGGCGACCATCTGCTGAACGCAGGCCTCGGAGCCGCACATGGCGAGCACGTCGCGGAATAGGTCGCGAGCGGTCTGGTCGTGCATCTGCCCCTGCACGGCGGCCAGCTGCTCGGCGCCCAGGGCGCGGCACACGCGCACGGCCATGCTCAGGCGCTCCATGGAGCGGGGGGAGGGGCCGTCCTGGCGGCTCAGCTCACTGGCGGCGGTCTGGAGGTCCTGGGAGAGGCGGTGCTGCAGGCTGGACCGCAGGGTGGCGTTCTTTTGCACGGCGGCGGGGGACAGCACACCGGCGAAGATGTCGTCAACGATGACGTCGCTCTGGTCCTTGTTGTTAGCCCTGCAGACCAAGACAGAGAGGTTGAGCGAGTCTTGTGAAGGGTGTGTGTCAAGAAAGTGGCCCAATAAGAGTTATTCAATTTTTATTTGTTTATTTATTTTTTGATTTAGTTTTGATTTACATGTTGTTCTTAACTTACTTGGCACTGCGGGGCTTGCGGCTGTGCTTGCCCTTTTTGAGCTCGGCATCGTCACTGTCGTTCTCGTCGGAGTGGTTCTTCTTGTGCTTGCGGGGGCTGCTGTCCTCCTCGGAGCTACTGTCGTGGTGCTTCTTGGGCTTCTGATTCTTGTGTTTAGCGTCTCTGCTGTCGTCTTCGTCGGAGTGGTTCTTCTTGTGCTTGCGGGGACTGCTGTCCTCCTCAGAGCTGCTATCGTGGTGCTTCTTGGGCTTCTGGTTCTTGTGCTTGGCGTCGCTGCTGTCGTTTTCGTCAGACTGGCTGTCCTGGCTAGAGCTGGCGCTGGAGCTAGAGCTGTCAGACTTGTGGTTCTT